CTCTTGATGATAATGTCCAGTCTCTTGTATCCCCTGATGATGTGGATCATAGAGATGCTATTGGTCGAGGTATCGATGTCAGCAAAGGTGCGGTGGGTGCCATGTTGTGGAATGAATTCTTTGTTTAACATCATCCTGAACGTAGTATCTGCCAGTATTTTCTCACCTACAATGCAATTCTTTCGTATTTTCTTGAATATTAGATATATACATTCATAAAAACCAGGACAGTGCAAGTTATCTGTATTGACTCACAAGTCTCAATTAATGATCTTTGTCTTTTTTCTTTTGTCAATTTTTATCTCCCATATATAATTGTGTTGTCCACAAACACACAAACAGTGTCAATACTCGTTCTTCTTATCTTCGGAAACATTCAAAAGAGAGAATGTAGATGTAACTTATCATAGGAAGTAAATAGCATACGGTCAACTAATAAAAAATCTGTCAACCAATTTTTCATCTTTTTGGTCGTGTACTTGGTTTCAGGGAATTGCATTTGTAAGTGTTATTTTGTTCATCGTAGTTTTTTTTTCTTTTTAAATAATTAAAATAGTAAACCTGGTTGTTCGCAGCTACTATTGTTTACATTGAGGGCTCAGAATTTGAATTTGACTGCAGGGTTCACATTTACGGAAGTAAACTCTATTAGAGCAAGCGCAAGCAAGGTTACAAGCTGTCACTTCTCATCAGATGGGAAGTTTCTTGCTAGTGGGGACCATGATAAAAAGGTGAGTGAATGAATGTTGAAATTGCTAATAACTTCTGTGGGAGGATTCAGAACTGCTGCTACATATGGGCTAATTGATTCTTCCCGAACATTAACATGTGAAATTGTTTGTTTAGTTTACTTCTTAAAAGCTATAACGTTTACTTTGTTGGTTGATGCTTCTACTTTTTTAGAGTGTTCTTGACATGTGTATTATGCAGGCTGTATTGTGGTACACAGATACATTAAAGCCAATAAGTGTGCTACAAGAACATTCAGCTTTTATAACTGATGTTCGTTTTAGTCCGAGCATGCCACGTCTTGCAACGTCTTCATTTGACAAGACTGTCAGGGTTTGGGATGCCAACAATGTTAGTGAAAAATTCTTCTGTCCTTATCATCTAGTTAGCTTATACTCTGATTTTAACCTATTGATTCGAGATTTGAAGACTTGTTAGAGTAATCAAACTAAGTATACATACTTCTAGTTTGATTTCTATCATACATTCTGTAATCCTTGCCATTATGAGTTCTTCTATATGCTTCATTGCTCGGGTGCTGAGTTTGTGCCTCTATTCTTAAAAAGATGATTTATCTTTTGTGACATGCTGTATCAAGCCTTCTTTATGGTTTTATTCTGCAGCCTCGTTATCCTCTCCGTACCTTTATGGGACATTCGGCCTCTGTTATGTCATTAGATTTCCACCCAAATAAAGATGACCTCATCTGTTCTTGCGACGTGGATGGTCAGATACGCTACTGGAGTATTCACAAGGGCAGCTGCTTGTGCGTGTCTAAGGTAGAATCTTGTCTTCTGGGATGCAGGAAGTTCATGGGGGTGGGGTAGTGGTGGTTTTCATATTATTTACGTTTTGGTGATTCTGATATGCTTGGACGTATTAGGGTGGTACGGCACAAATGAGATTTCAACCCCGTCTTGGAAGATTTCTTGCTGCAGCCGCAGAGAATGTTGTATCTATACTGGATGTTGAGACTCTGACTTGTCGGCATTCTTTACAGGTCAGTCTAACTTTTTGTCTCACTATAATTTTTCTTTCATAGTTGTAATTAAACGGATCATGTGATATTATCATGTGAATTCTCAACTGCATTACTTGGGAATTTGGATTTGAATGCAGGGGCATACTAAGCCTATCCATTCTGTGTGTTGGGATCCTTCTGGCGAATTCCTTGCATCTGTCAGCGAGGACTCTGTAAGAGTTTGGGCACTTGGAGCGGGAGGCAAAGGGGAATGCGTTCATGAGTTAAGCTGCAACAGAAATAAATTTCATTCATGCGCTTTCCATCCTGCAGATACTTCACTGCTGGTCGTTGGCTGTTATCAGGCAAGTCAATTCTGCATTATTGTTCTTATATAATGTTTGTTACATTTTTTGCTTGGAGACCACTACTCTCTTAAGCCGTTCGGATATTTGTTCCCATTTTACACGGGAGAAACAATCCTTTACTGGTACTAGTGTTGCTGCAAGATATCATATTTTGATTTTTATTTGGGGAAAATAATTGCAGACACTGGAGTTATGGAACATCACAGAGAACAAGACAATGACTCTACCAGCACATGAAGGACTCATTGCTTCTTTGGCGGTGTCAACTGTTACAGGTTTGATTGCTTCGGCTAGTCACGATAAGTTTGTCAAGATCTGGAAGTGAAATGGTTGTTACTCTGATCAAAGAACTTTGACTGACTTGTATTATTATTGTTGTTGTTGTATTCCTGTTACTATATAATAAAGTTAATTAAAAGTCTATTTTGATGCTTCATGGACTTGTAGCGCTTCAAATACAGATACTCTTATGCTTCCGTTTTCCTTTGTTGTACACAAAAATCTGAAACCAAAACAGATAATGTAATGTTAAAGTCCAGGGAGTTCTAAATTTTGGTTAATTTGGAGCCTGGAACCAGATATTCGCCGAGCAAGAGTTTTGATCATCGATTAGCTGATGACATTCAATTCCAGCCGCTGATACATGCTTCTAATAAAAGTTTAAATCTTCTAAATAAAAAAGGTGTTCAATCTTTGTAATTTACTTGTTCAATGACAAACTCCCATCGTGAAGCCACCTAAGGAGTTACAAATGAAAAACATTCCCAAATTAGTTTGGTTTTCTTTTTTGGATTTTGTTAGGGTTTTCTTTTTCAGAGGAAGAAATGGTCATGGACTCAGCAAATGCAAGTTTTTGCATTTGCTGGAATTAGCACTTAGAGTTAGAAGGTACTCTCAGCTCTCTACACTTTGTATCTGCCATTTCTTTATCGTAACGATGAAATATTGAATGTGATAAATTTGGATGGTAAAGAGGTTTTTTTTTCGGTTTGAAACATACCCTTTAATGTACAAAGCATGTTTAGCAACTCTTATTCACTTTCTGAAATCAAAAGCATAAGCCTAACAAACTGATCAATTAGTTTACAACTATAAATCTTTGGTCATCAGATGCATGCGTAAAAAGAAACCATAAAATGAATATATTTTCACATATTTTGCGATACTTTATTATATCCTAAAATAGCCTTTTGTTGTAATGTGCTAAGAGCACTTCCATCGGGGGTGGCATAGGTGGGCACACAGCCAAAAAAATGGCCCGGCACCTAGGGAAGTCTCTCCAGCCCAGCAGATTGCCAGGCACCGACCCAAGCTGGCCTCCAGGCCAACCCAAAATTGACAGACCTTGGGACCGGCCCATCTGACGCCACCATGGCGTCAAAGGGCAAGGAGCCACGGAGGGAGAATGAGGGAGAGGAGCTCGTCGCTGCGTCGATTTTTCGTACAACTGGAAGCTCCGGATGCAGAACGACTTGGACATGCTTTCCGCAAGACTCGATATTCAACTCAAGAAACCTATCAGAGGTTTACAACGCCGACGTTTTGACACAGCGGTTCGCGATCGTAGTTTCGAGGCCCGGCAACAGAGCTTGCAGAGATGAAGTGAGGTTGTCTGCAAAGATTGTTTCTGTTATTTCTAGGTTTCGTTCGTACAAGGTTGTTCTGATTAAAGCCGGGATTGTTGCATCATTGATTCGGGTTTTAAAGTGTAGGAGTGAGGTTGGGAAAGAAGAAGCTGCAAAGAGCTTACAGAGATTAAAGTCAGAAAATAAAAATAAAAAAATTATTTTTTATTATTTTATAAAAAATAAAAAAATTATTTTAATAAAATTGACTAGGCTATTTTTTGTTAGAGGTGGAGATACTTTGGCCAATTACTATTCATTAGAGTTTATTATTGTTCACTGAGTGGATATATAGGCTGGGTGCTGGCGTATTTTTTTAGGGGTGGAATCAGGGGTGGATCCATTACAGGACCTGGGTGGTCCCAAGACCCTCCGGAAGATCAGAAAAGCATATGTGAAGATCGTTAGGGACCACCAGACTGCCAGGTCTTGTGCTGGTTTTGGAACTCCATGAATTTGCAGTGCAGCACCCAGCAGAATTTAGCGAAGAAGAAGAAAGTTTAATATTGTTATACAAATTGTGAGATATGTGTGGTAAAAATTTAATAACTTAAAAAATAAAATTTCCTACCACTTTTATTAAAACATGTGGTGTACTACTTATATTCTCATCACAATTTAAAATTTTCTCCTGGCCTAGAAGGTGTCGATTTGAGTCAGGCCATTCAAAAAATTAAAACTCTTTTTCGTCTACAAACCCAAGGCCCAACTACTCCTCATGCAATTCCCTCTTTTAATTAGCACAAAGACCCAAATCCACCCATCCAATACAAACCTTACCCCGGAACCCCACCACAATTACAGCGTGTTTACTAATCCGTAATCGGAATGAGAATAAAGAATCCGATTTCGATTACAGATTATACATGTGTTTGCTAAAATTGGGAGGAATCAAAAGTGTGTGTGGCCCACACAAAAAATGGAATCCAATTCCAAGATTTGGCTAATTTGGATTCCTAACATAGAGAATGTATTTGGATTCCGTGTGACATCCCACATCGCCCAGGGGTGATCCTTATCTGTATATTCTCATCTCTACCTAGCACGAGGCCTTTTGGGAGCTCACTGGCTTCGGGTTCCATCGGAACTTCGAAGTTAAGCGAGAAAGGGGCTAGAGCAATCCCATGATGGGTGACCCACTGGGAAGTTGCTCTAGCCCCCTTCTCGCTTAACTTCGAAGTTCCAATGGAACCCGAAGCCAGTGAGCTCCCAAAAGGCCTCGTGCTATGTAGAGATGAGAATATACATATAAGGATCACCCCTGGGCGATGTGAGATGTCACAATCCACCCCCCTTATCCACATCGCCCAGGGGTGATCCTTATATGTATATTCTCATCTCTACCTAGCACGAGGCCTTTTGGGAGCTCACTGGCTTCGGGTTCCATCGGAACTTTGAAGTTAAGCGAGAAGGGGGCTAGAGCAATTCCATGATTGGTGACCCATTGGGAAGTTGCTCGTGAGTTCTCAAAAACAAAACCGTGAGGGAATGGTAAGCCCAAAGTGGACAATATCGTGCTACGGTGGTGGAGCGGGCCCGGGAAGTGATCCGCCCCGGGTCGGGATGTGACATTCCGGGTTGCACAAGCAATCGGAATGATAATTTTTTTCCATTTGTGCCCTCACTTATATTCATTATTTCCAAGATTATCCTTAACCCTAGACTCACATTATGCACAACTCCATACATATGCTGAAGAGAAGAAACTACAACTTGAGCGAGAAAATTTAGATATTAAAGTATATACTTAAATTTATAAAAATAAATAAATAAACAAAATCATTTTAGTGTGTCTATGAAATAAAAAAGTAATTTAATTTTTTTCTTACTATTATATATTATATCAAATTTTATTAAAAAAGTACATAAAATATTTGATTTGGGACAAGGGCATTTTAGTAATCATACTGGTTTATATTCCGATTTTGCTGAATTAGTAAACAGTTTTATGGAATTCTATTTCGATTTCAGACAGTTTTAGTAGACAACTTCAACAAGAATTTGATTCTGATTCCACGTCATTTCATTTCCTCCTCAATTCAATTCCTCTCAATTTGATTACGGATTAGTAAACGCGCCTTTATTCCACGTCTATCTTTCCATCATCACCTCATTACAATATTGAATTTCAATTAAATTTTATGATTTTGGTCTTATGTCTATTAGATGAAAATATTCATATGATTATTGTGATGTAGTTTATGATTTTTTTTTTATAACAATTTGATCATTGTTGGTTAATCTATAGAGAACTTTTATCTATACTTTAAAAATCACATTTTTCACTCCTCGTAAGTGTAGATTTCTTTCTCATTTTAGAAAGTTATAAATACAAAGTGATATTTTTAGAGTGCAAATAATAATTTCTAATATATATATATATATATATATATATATATATTAAATAGTGTTTTTATAAATACAATCTGATCTTGGAATGTTTCTCTCTAACATCAAATAGTAATTTATTGTAAAAAAAATCAATGTTATTTTTGTTTTAAGTTTTTTTGAAACTTTTACAATTAGGACCACCCGATGTTGAAATCCTGGATCCGCCATTGGGTGGAATTGCTCTAATGTATGTGCTTTGTGCTACAAGCAACCTTCAAAGTGGACTAGGGAGTCATCATGAGGGTTCATAAAAATTCAAATTGGAGCATATTCAATCAACCAAAGTGAGCGGGTGACACCATAGCCAGTGCGAAGGCTTCCCTCCCTAAGCGGTTTAAGAAGTGGCAACTTCGACGATACGTCGTGCAAGTTTTCCGACGCGGGATCTCTTTCTAACTCTGGCAAGTACCATTACTCCAATAGAAGATACGCGTCATACACTGCGCGTTACTCTCACGGTTACTGAGTCGATCAAGTTGGGTTTTCCTTGGTCTTATCTGAGGATGCGAGTTAACTAGACGATTCAACTCTGTTTTACTTAATGGACCCGGTCCGTGTCTCAGGTCAATGGGTTAGGTTGCTGGGCTATTAATGGTTGTAGCACGCGTTGATGCTGACACGATAAGATGCGTCTGGCGTATTTTAGAAATTCAACTCGCCAGATTGGGGTTTTAACATTTGTGTGTGTTTACTATGTGTTTGTTAAAATGCTCCCACAACTCGAACTCAATGCTTCAACACAAAAAGTTCAAATTGAAACTGCATTCACAGAGAGTTATTCAAAAAGGGTTGCATAGAGTTAATTTCTAGATATATTCTTAGGAAAACTAATGAAAATGGCTTGAAAACTTTGAGTTTTAATGATAAGGACAAAATAAATGGTAAAGTGAATAGTACCAGTATTGACTTTTTAGTGTAAAAATATGGTTTTTTCCGTTAAAGTGAACAGTACCGTGAGCTTTTCGTTAAAACTCCCATTATTCTTCTCCTGATCACTTATAAAGCGATACAAATTACAAAGCTCAAGTATGAAACCAAGTGTAAGAAGTCATAAAAATAAAAATAAAAAATAAATAAACTGTTATGAGTTTACTTACAGTTGCTTTATTAATTACATAGATTTCTTGTCTCAGTTTCTTCTTGAAGACATGATTTGCTAGCCTTGCCAAGTATTAGTGCCTTCAATGGTTACCCTTTGCCAGTTTTATTAAATTTTAAGTGTGTTTTCTTTCTAGTATTGCAAAATGTCATAAGGTTACAAAAGGAATAAGAGATATTTAAGGAGGAGGATTCAGTGAACATGTAGTACACAAAGACATCCAGAAAACTCCTTGAAACAATCCACAAAGGCTAGTCTATAAGCCTTACACTAATCTCCTTAAATCAAAGAGTTGACAACAAGGAAAAGACCACAAAGGCT